CGTAACTCTCAAGAATCAATTGTCAATTCAGAGGAATTCGTCTTATTGAAGGCTAAATGTCGAATCAATATCAGAATTAGTGCATTTGATTTAAAAGTTAGCTTTGTGTTTTACAGTTAAGCATCATGACGAATTTCAATACAGTTGAATTTCATCAGAATGCTTAGTGTATATATAATGCGACAGATTAGTTTGAACTATTGCTGAGCTTAGAATATTTAGCATTTTACGTGACAAATCCCTTGTACAAAAATGATTTGTTAAAATGTCTTTTGATCATATTATTGATTCGTTTTCAGCAATTAATGAGAAATGCTCTATAGCAGCCTGTTTAGTCTCATACTGAAATATTTTAGTCCCACGCTGAAGGTTTATTCTTTCAGATATTTATTATTTTATTTTTTCTGGAACTGATGTTCCAGACACCCTTGTAATAACTTGCAATCCCATCGACCACCGTTAAAAATTAAACACACCAAGAGGCAAAAGGTTTGTCAGGCAGTGCGACACTTATTGTGAAATCCGTTACCGGATGTGGTGTACTTGTACAGTCGCTTGATCGCCTGTGTCGTGGGCAGAATGATAAACGCGAGCGGAGAAACGCAGGACTTCAGAGGTATTCCGTGAACTCTGTCAGCTCGGTGCTTGACTGTTGGACTTCAGCAGGGCTGAATTCAGACCGTCACAGAAACAGAGCTGACGGCGAAACGGGCTTCCCTCTCTCTGTTTGTCGAGTCAATCATTTTACAGCCAAAACTTTGAACCTGCGACTCGTTTCTTTTTGTACGTTTTTTTTAAACTTCCAAGATTACCTCAACAGTTAAAATGCCTTTCATTGAACACTTATCGGACACGGAATTGGAGCGTTTGGCTCTTGAGCAGGTCGTCCCGGCCCTGCAGGAATACGGCTTCTACTACGTGGACGGACTCCTCGGCGAGCTGGCCGGGGGCGCGGTGTTGGATCAGGTGAAAGACATGCACCGCTCTGGAGTTCTGCAGGACGGCCGGCTGGCCGGATCCGTCCCGGCAGTCCACCGGAGGAGCATCCGTGGAGACAAGATCGCCTGGGTGAGCGGATCGGAACGCGGCTGCGAGGCCATCAACTTCTTGCTCAACCTGATCGATAAGCTGATCTCCTTTTGCTCCGGGAGGCTGGGAAACAAAGCGATTCGGGAAAGATCCCAGGTAAGCGAAACCGCCTGGTGGCACGATCCTGGTTTACAGCCATCGTGACGATTCAGAAAAACAAGCTAATAAAGGGCCAAAATGTGCCAGTATTTGATCGGGAGCGACCAAACAGGAGACGCAGAGGACCAGAGCTGACAAAACTGAGGAAAGCAAAATACGAACCGATCTTAAAACACGATCAGACCTGCTTACATGAGTAGTTTGTCGTCGAATGTTTGAAAACCAAAAAGCCCAAATAAAGCACATCATGAGTAGTTTATTCAGGGTTAAAGTGAGTAAAACCCCGAAATAAGCATCATAAGATATGTACTTTTTAAAAGGGTACACTGTTTCAAGCCGACATTAGTAAACTCATTTTAGTTAAGTAACAAATTCTTTAACTGTTTTTTATATAATTTATTTATGATGTAGACCGTAAAGACTTTATAACTTGCTTCGTGTAGTTTTCACCATCAACAAACTCCAGTCAGCAGTTAAAAATAAACTTCGTGTGTCTGGAACTCACAGGTTAAAATAAAAACGGAGATGCCACTCCCCACTGCCAGCAGTGGCATTGTGCTGAAGCTGTGCGCTGGTTTGGACTCCAGCTGGTTATAAGTGATGCTGAGATCAGGAGATGCTGTTTATCTCAGGCCTTCCTTCTTTCATTTAACAGCTTGGCTCATCACACACTCCTCACATGCTCTCCTCCTCTAGCTGCTCAGTGGAAAGGTGCATCATGCGTAGAAGTAAACACACCAAAGCTCTTGCACAAAAACATGGCATGCTGTGACAGTGGTTTTAATATTGGTATTTATTACAGCGAATTGTTAGTTGTGAAAAAGGCAGATGTGAGCTCAAGTGGACTCTACATAACTTAATCACTAGGCACTGACTGGAGCTCTGCTTTATTTCCTCTATCCTTTTCTTTCTTTCTGTTGTGCTTGGACGTTCTTCTTTTTCTCAGTAACTTGTTGGCCTTTTGGCAGTATTTCAGTAACTGACCAATTCTGGGCCCTGAGCCAGTGTTTCAGAAACCAGAACAAGGTGCAGGAAGGGCAGGGAATTTACGACATCAGGTCAGGTCCTCTGGTGTTCTCCGCTGCTGTGATGATTAATGGCGTGAAGATTACGGTTCCGTCGTAGGAGTACCATTCTCAGCTTTTACATGTATCGTCTCTACCTATTAACCTGAACAGAAACCTGTGGGCATTGACCCAGAATGAGCCTCCACATAATAATAACAATATTGTATTTACTAGCAGTATATAAACTG